GGAAAGAAAGGAAAATTGAGTCCTAAATTCATCGGTCCATATAAGATTCTTGAAAAATTTGGGAATGTGACATATCATTTAGCATTGCCACCCGGACTATCAGCAGTGCACAATATATTTCATGTTTCTATGTTGAGAAAATACGTTTTAGATCATAGCCATGTGGTGAATGTTCGGTCATTGGATGTCCAGAGTGATATGACATATTAAGAAAGAAGCTCTTGTAGTGATTCTGGAGAGAAAGGGCCATGTTCTGAGAAATTGAAAGGTTCTATTAGTCAAAATCCAGTGGGATAAACATGGTAAGGACAAGGATACTTGGGAAAGAGAAGAATACATTTTAGTCAAGTATCCCAATCTCCTTAAACAAGTAAGTTAAATTTCTAGGACGAAATTATTGTAAGCGTAGATAGTTGTAGAAATCGAAAAAAATAAAAAAAAAATCTTGTATTTCGTTTTAAAAGAATTTTTCTTATGAAACTCGAAAATAATTTGAGTTATATTATTAAGTCGTTATGACCCTTCCTAAGAGTTCAAATTAAAGTTTTGGTCATGATAGTTAAGTTTCGCGCACTTGTTCTTAAAATTTTTGTAAGGTATGGAATTTCTAGTAAAACGACAAATTTTTATTTTGACAGCACACGTTATTGTAATTGTTGCATACATGTTTAGTGCTTAAATTTTAGGAATTAGATAAACCGGATATAGTGCATGAAACAACCCCATATTCATCCCGTCATAATTATTTTTTTTCTTCCCACTCACAGTTTTCCTCCACTAATGCATTCCCATTTAATTTTTTTTATTCCTTAACCTGACTTTTCATTTTTCTCCACTAAGCATACCATTTGAATTATTTACTAAATGCCATAACCTCCAATTGCCATTATATTAATTATAAAACAAAACTATCATTCATATGAAAAGGGTGCGTACACGTTTATAACCCATAACCCACCATTTATACACCTAATTAATATTCCAGTACCATTGTTTTAAATCCCATTTTGGTTACTCCAATTACCATAAGGGTTCGTTTGATTGCAAAGGTGAAAATAAAATGTTTTACTAGGAATTGAATTGCATAGAAATTGTTTTACTGGGAATTGTAATTAATTGTGTTTGATTGGTACAATTTTCCACCTGAAAAATATTGAAAGTTTGGTATTCATTTGACTTCATTTTTTATGGAAATTGTCCATTAAAGTGATAATTTTTTCTACCATTGCGTCTAAAATTTGTTCCAATTACCAAAAAGTAAAAAAAAAAAATTTAAACAATTAGAAAAAATTACCATAGTCATTTGGCTTTGTTTTGCATAGAAATTGATAATAAAAGTGATAATTTTTTTTTACCAATGTATCTAGAATTTTTTCGGAATGTCAAAAGAAAAAAAAACTGAAAAATCAATTAC